AGGCTGGAAAGTCCAAGATGAAGCTTTAGTATGTGGCGAGGGCTTTCTCTACTTCTTAGGTGCTGCATTTTGTATGTTTTACATAGTGGAAGGGGTGAGCATTCTCCCTTGAGCCTCTTACTTAAGGACACTAATCCCATTCATGAGAGCTGCACTTTAATTCCTATCAAAGTTCCCACCTCTTAATTCCATCATCATGGACATCATTTTTCAACATATAAATTGGGAAGTGAGAGGGCACAGATATTCAGACATGGCAGAGATAATAATGGCACTTACCTCATAGAATTATCCAGAAGATTAAAAGAGTAAAAGGCCTAGCTCAATGCTTGGACTGCCATAAGCATTGACTATTATTTATGTGTCAGTTTGGGTCTGACTTCTAAGTCTGTTATTTTTTCCCTTAAAATTTCCATTTGTGTATATCATTGATGATATAAGCTACCTTCTATTCTTGATCTTTCTGATCATTATTTCAGATTTCAGAATTGACTGTGTTCTCCAAAATCCTCTGTTAACTTTGTATCTCCATTATTGTTTATACTAGATGTCCCCCCAAAGCCTCATGTGCTCAAAAGTGATTGCACCACATGGAGTCTATAGCCAGTGTGATGTTAGGAGAGGAGACCTGGTCAGAACAAGCAGGTCAGTGGGGTCGAGCCCCAGGAAGGTGTCTCTCCCTTCCCAGATCCCTCCTGCTCTCTGCTTCTTGGCTGCCGTGACCTGAGTAGCTCTCCTCTGCTGTGCTCTTTTGATGTGTTGTTTCTTCTTTGGAGGTAGCCAACGATGGATTGAAATGTGAGCCAAAATAAAACTCTCCTCCTTTAAGGTGCAGTTGTTGGGTTTTGTGTCTTAGCGATAAGGAAAGTGATTAAGGCAGTCTCTAGAAATACTCTGCTTTTTGTTTTTCTTTTTACATCAAGTTGTCATCAGATCCTCCATCAGTGCGTCCTTCCTTTTACAGGCCGCTAGCTGTTCTGTGCTAGGCTGTTCCCTTTCTCTGTTTACTGTGGTTCAAGTGCAGCTTTTGGATTAACTTCAGCTTGGCAATGCAGCAAATGGTCCAAAGAGCTGGTTCTGCCTCTTTCGGTCGACTTTGTACCAGCCTTCAGGAGTTGCATTCCCTTTTGAGGCACCAAAGGAAATAACAAAGGCTCCATACTTTAGCTCATTAGTCAAGGAGACCCTGGCCATTGTCAGTTGGCCTCCCTGCTCCTGGGAAAACCAAGAGGCAGGCAGCCAGAGCTTCCCTTCTCTGAGTCTCACAGGTATCATTTCAGACTCTCCCCAGGACACTGGCTCTGATCTGGGACCTGAGGCTTCCTACATCTGTCAGTCTCATGTCCAGCTAGAGTGCAGAAAGGGTGGCACAGCTGTGCTCTCACCCATTGCCTTCTAGGACCCTTCTGCCTCCTGTACCACCAGCTGTTCGGCCAGAGAGACATCATGGTGGGGTTGGATTGTGAAAAGAAGGGCAGCAAGGATACACTGATGCTATCATCTGTCCTGTGTCTTCCCCTTATCTCCTTTCTGCTGCCCTCTTTCATTATTAATACAGATCATTGTTATTACATGAATTTCTTAGTCACTATCTTATTGCTGAGACACAATCCAGCACCATAGTTTAAAGGAGGAAAATTTTATTTTGGCTCACGGTTTGTATGTTTTCAGTCCATAGTCAGCTGGCTCCAAGCCAGGACAGAAGGGCAGAAGACATTGCAGAGGAGAATTGCTCATGACATGGCAGGCAGGAAGCAGAGAGAGGTCAAGGGAGGAGAAGGGGAAAGGACCCTTGTAGGCCACGCCCCAGTGTCCCATCTCCTCCAACCGGGCTTTGCTTCCCAACATCACATTCAGGTACTGACTTACCACGGACTAGCCCAGTAGTGAGTATCACCCCTCACGATCCAGTCACCTCCCCAAAGCCCCACCTCTGAGCATGTGAGGCTTTGGGGGATAGCTAGATAAATACCATGACTACAGTCATCATTATCAGACAGGAATTTCATTATCTCCTCGCTGTTGTTAGGTTTCCTCATTTATGGCATTAGCTCAAATTCCACCTCACTCATCAGAGCTACTTTTTCTGTATTTTCAGTCTGCAGTTTCTAACATTATCAGGATGTTTGATTTTCCACGAGCTTAAAGTACAGATTGTGTAATGTATTCTCTGCTTCTCTGACTTACTAATCTTGAAGATGTGTCACCACTCAATGACAATACTGTTGCTGTTTTTTAGACTCATTTGAAGCTGAACAGCTTGCTTTCTGGTATATTATATTAAATACAGAGTTTAAAAACAAAACCCAAAGCAGCTTTTCTGTCAAAACAATGTTAGTTTCACAACTTCGTTTTCACAGAATTGATGTTTACTGGCGAAGGGAACATTTCAATATTATGAAGCACAAACTCATTTGTGACTTGCATGCTTGACAGTTTTTCTCTATAGTATAGATTGCATCACAAAAATAGAGCTGCTTAAATTTTTTTCTTTGCAAAAATCTTTACTTGAAAAATCTTCTGGCACGTTGATATTATTTTTATAAAATATAAATGAGTACCGTGGTTATTTATTTGTCCACTAATCACCTTACCTTGGGCTACCCTTTTCAGATGGAAAGGTAAATCACTGCTTGTAAATAGAGGTCAAGAAATTTCCGACATTCTTTCAGTAGCAAACATCTGTTGAAGATCACTTATGTGTAAAAATGATACTAGGGACTGGGAATATAATTGGGAGCTGTTTTCCATCTCTGCCATCAAATCTAGTTGGAGCCTATCATCCAGTTGGTAAAGAGAGAGAAAATAATAATTTCTGCAACATTTCCGATTTTAACAAAAGTCTAGAAGACAATGCAAATATTACTGTAATATATTGGTACTATATTATACAGCAGTGAAATGTATCATATGTGCCTATAATGTACGGCAGTAACATGAAGGTATTTGATACTTTTGTCGTCCATCAATAACAGCTATTGAAACAGTATGTGGAAGCTTTAAAAATGGGAAATACATTGAAAGAGGAAGATGTATTGGACAAATGGTAATAGTGTATCTTTTATTTCCCTTCTTGCCTGGGAGCTGATCACAGTTGATAGTCGTTGGGGTTAAGTGTGTGCACTCTCGAGAGAGAGCGCTCATTTATTTCTCCTGAACAAGTCATCGAACTTCCCTGTGTGTGTTTCCTCTGTCGCACAGTGGTTCGGTAGCTGTGTCACCAGCTTGTTGTGGGATTAGGTGAAGGGAGAGTGAAATGCGTGATGGCAGAGGGGCAGGGCCTTACGGGTGTTAGCTACTCTGCCTGCTCCGTGGTTGGCCTCCGCACTCTCCTGGGGGTCTCTGGGAGCAGGAACTCGGCTTCTTCAGCTGAGTATCCTCAGGAGTGCGCTACGCTACCATCCTACCTGGTTTGGAGTAACTTCTCCCTGCTGGAGGCAGAGAAGGGTGGGGGAAGGACAGGGAGAGGGAAAGAAAGACTAACGTTTCTCCACATCCTGCCATCCATATGGCACATTGCTGAACTAAAGATTTATAAACAGCGTTGTTTTTTAACCCTTTGTTGGGTATGGTATGGAAACTGAAAAATTCCAGAACCAAAAGACCCCAGGTATCTTCTAGTTCTCCTGTCTCACTCTTCAGAGGAAGACACTCACGACTGAGGCTCATCTACAGAATTATTCGAGGCATCAAATGGCACAGTAGGGCTGATGACTGGCAAGAACCCAGTATTTCAGCTGCAACCAAACATCTCTCTTCTGGATCCTACACTGCCTTTCTTTCTTGTATGGAACCAACTATCTAAGCAGTGTAATATTCTCCTGTTTTCTTCTACTCCTTACCCCAGCTTTCTCTCCCTCTCTCTGTCTCTCTCCCTCTCTCTCTCTCTCTCTCTCCCTCAAGTTACCAGTGATGAGGTAGTCATCGGGTGTCAGCCTGAACAAGGTGTTCTGGGGACGCTTTCCCTGACCTTCCCCAGATATGGACCAGTGGTGTTGTCTGCTGCCGTCACCGCACTCTGTATTTTCCTTGCCACATACCCAGCCACGCACTGTTCTGATTGCCTGTCTGGCTGTTCTTCTCTATTAATCACTAGGCTCCCTGACCCTGCTCTTAAGGGGCTGTGCAACATTGTAGTTTAGGGGGTGGGTGTGGACCGGACTGATTGGGTTGAAATAATGGCCCTGCTGTTTGCGTGTGACTTGGAGAACTTACTTCAAGTTACTCTCAGAGCCACTGTGTATCTCCTGTCAAGCGAACACAGTACTGGTACCCACAACGTCGTAAGCATCACATGAGTAAGGCATGTTAAGGACACGAGATGCTTCCCGACATGAAGGAAGTATGTAATAAATCTTAGCTTTCATTATTCTCCATTCTCATTTTCATCCCATGCCTAAGCATGTAGAAAATATTTGTTGAATGAATGTACACCTGCCTTTGAAGCAGGTAGATTAAGAAAAGTGCTTTCTCCCATCCAACAGTCTTTCCTTTCATTAGATGATGCTAAGCTGATATAAGCAGTATCGCCTGCAGCCCTAGTCCATGATAGGTTTACTGTCAGGTTGGGGTGGGAAGGAAATACATGGCAAACAACCACTGTAGTATGTACTAGAGTAAAAACTAATGTACATTAATATATGTGAATTGTATTGAAAGTAACAAATATTCCACATGTTTCCTACTAATAACCCCATCGTAGGAATGTGGAAGTTGTTTTGATGAGTGTCAGGAAATTTTAGAGCTGAAAGAGACTTGGGAGTTTACCTCTCAGCTTAGAAATAGGTTGGAAATTTACCAAAAATAGAGTTATTATTGTAGTTCACTGAAATATGGATGATTGCGTTTCTTTAAAACCTTTTTTACGGTGCTTAAAACTGTGAGGACCATCAGGGTTCTTAATAGATACCGGTACGATGAGAGAAGTCTGGTGACTTGCAAGCTTGCTTTGACCATTGTTTATTTTACTGTTTTGCTTCCACCCAACTGTGCTCCTTTAGGACATACTCTGGCCAAGCAAGCATATCACAGCAATAAGAGAAAGGACTCCTCGAAGTGGGTTCCTGCTCTTCATCTTTTTGAGGTGGCCTTGAGGCTCTGTAAGACAACGGTTGTAGAGGAGAGGGAGGTGGAGGCTGAAATCCTTTTTCAGAAAGGTAAGAGATACTTGGAGTCAGAACTGTGAAAATATTTCTAGCCCCACCCCCATCAACAGTGATCTTCTTGACTAAAAAATACAGATGCTCCAGAGGGTTTAGTCATGACAAAACACATTGATGCCTCTGTCAAAGTGTTTTGGACAAAAGAACACTGCTTATTTAAGTTTATATCAAGAAAGAAAAAGGCATTACAAAGTGTTTTTTTTTAAATTATAGCTGACCCTCCTTATGCAGTTTGAAATTTGATTTAAAAACATTAGCAGCAGCCACTGGGCTATACATAATATTACCTAAATGCTTCTTAGAAGGTATTTTTTTCTGCATTATTTCAGTACCCAGCTAAACATTTTGATTAATTTCTTTAACTGAGAGATACATATCTATTGAAATTAAATAGCTACAGCATAAGTACACTTACAGTGTATGTACATTATATAACACAGGCAAGTAGTGAGGGGCATTTTAGCCACAAGGAAAATAAAGGATGCTAACGCTATCCTTCACTGGGCGTCTGTTAGATGCTAGGCGCTGTAATTCTTACCACAATTCTCTAAGGCAGCAGTGAGTAGGCTTGGTTGACAAATGAGGAAAACAAGGTGGAATCTGGTTAAGTAACTCTCCAAAAGTATATGTGACGCAGTGCTGGCCAGCTGTGTCCTTACATCACACAACTGCTTGAACACCATGAGTAAGCAGAATTTCTCTTCCCTTTCTTTTTCACCATAGAGGTAGTCACTCGGAAGGAGAGAAACCGCTAGAAGGGCAGACCATTTCCACTCTCATTGAGGGTTCTCACACGTTTGCTGACTTCCTAGAATTTGTTCCATTAAGTTATGATTGCTTAATTTTCTTTTTTTTGTTGGGGGGAACTGGGGATTGAACTCGAGTCCTTGCGCTTGCAAGGCAGGCCACTGAACCGCTGAGCTAAATCCCCGGCCCTAATTTTATTTTTGATTGACAAATACTAATTATATGTAAGTTTGGGGTGCAATGTGACGTTTTCATATATTTATATGTTGTGGGAGAATTAAATCGAGCTACCTAATGTATCCATCACATCAATGCTTACTTTTTTTGTGGTGAGAGCATTTAAAGTCTACTTTCTTCGCAATTTTCAAATATGCAATGCATTATTAGTGATTATAGTCATCATGCTTTACGGTAGTTCTCTAGGACTTGCTCAGCTCCGCTAACTTCAACTTTGACCAACATTTCCCCATCCCCTGGCAACCACCCTTTCTACTCTCTGCTTCTATGAGTTCACCATTCTTAGATTGCACAGATAAGTGAGATCATTGTGTTTGTCTCTTTGTGCCTGGCTTCTTACCTTTTGCAAAATGCCCTGGGTTTGTTAATGTGGTTGCAAATAACAGGATATATGTTGTCATTAATCCTCCTCAGAATGCTCCCCTTTGCTTCAGAAACACTTATCCCATCAGTTTTTCCACTTTCTGAAAAAGTTCTGGAAGTCCTCTTCTATGAGTGTCTCTATGAGGTGTGTTAAAAAACAAAATACAGTGAACGCTGTTGCCAGGTGCCATCCAGTGGAAACCCAGGCTGCTGAAAACAGTGGATCTGGTGCTATGCAACTTTGTCACTCCCCCAAAGTCAAATTGACCATGCAAGGTAAACAGTTTGAATGCCTTCCCGACATTTCAGCCAAAATAATGCAACTGAAGACACTGGAAAGTGTGTTCAAAGTGAGGGGAAGCATTTTGAGGCGGGTTAATGGCAATATATCTTTTACTGTAATACATTTTAAAAATTTAAACACATACCGTGTTTCCCCATCACACAGCAAACACTTTCACACACACTCCACTTTTTCTTTATCCATTCATCCACCGGTGAGCATTCAGGTTTATTCGGTGTCCTAGCTGTTGTGGATAATGCTGCATTGAACATAGAAAGGTAGATATGTCCTATGATATCTGTGAAATGGACAGGAGAACAGGAAAATGGATGCAGAGAAAGGAAATGAGAGATGAAGGAAGGAGGACACAAAGGAAATGGAGAGAAAATGAAGTAGTCAAACCAGTTGTTTTGCAGAAGCCAAAGGTGTCTTGGCCCAGTGGTTCTAACTGAAGGCAGGGAAGCCTGAAACTCCTGGTCAAGGAAGCAGTAGATCTCTCCCCACTGGTTTTTCTCTCAGCAGGAAACAGACAGGGCCAGGAATTTAGCTCAGTGGTTCTGCCACCTGCCTTGCAAGTGCAAGGTCCAGAGTTCGATACTGGGTTAAAAAAAAAAAAAAAAAAAGAAAAAGAAAGAA